AGAGAGAGAGAGAGAGAGACACATCCTTGACATGTCCTTGACACATCCTTGACACACACACACACACACAGAGCGCTTACAATCTGCCTGATTGCCCTAAGAAATTTCACTTGAGTTGGAGTGTCATTAAAATCAAAATTGAAGCATTGCCACCTTTTGGCACCTGATCTTTGCCATCTATTTGAAGGCTTTGAATTTCAACCGTTAGATTATAAGCATATTCAGAAATAATATTCTAAAAATGGAATAAAAGACGCCAGATGCCATATGCCAATAGCACATTTAAATAAGGGAGTACTAGCAAAAGTCCCAGCTACGCTGGGAGCATCATGTTTATTCCTGATGTTTTAGTAATTTCAAAGAGTTGTAATTGTAATTGTAATTTTTAACATAATCATTATTATAGCATACATAATTAAACATAATATAATATTTATATTGAAAGTCCCTTTTACATAATTTATGCTTAATATATAAATTATTGTTATATTATAACATGCTATATTATAATGTATATATAATTTTTTGTTTTTTTAGTATCATGATTTTTATGATATTAAAATATTATAGAATAAGTTATTAATATCTTAAATCATAATTTATAGTATAATTTGTGTAACCAGAAGCCCATGCATGCATTGTCATAAAGTGTGGAATACAAATAGATTTCCTATTCCATCTACATGATCAACAAGAAATAGATGTGACTCACTCTTATTGTCTAATGCTAGCTTCCAATAGTGCTGGCTGGATGGTGTCACCCTAATAACTTGGATATGAGCATCCATCACTTTTTTTTCTCTGTGGCAAGTTGGCACATTGTGGCAGCATTACATCTTGAATCTCTGTCAGATCCACATCACTATCAAGCTTCAAAAAAGCTAATCAGCTCACTACCCTGGCCTGAATTACCCTAATGCCTGGCTAGATAAAGAAGATATATCTTAGCCCACATATCAATGTAGAGTTCAAATGGCCAGTCCCGCATGTAGAGCTTCTGCATTGGAAACAATTTTCCAAAGATATTTGTCATCACAACGTCTGCTTTCCATTGAAAAAAAATGTGAAGGAGAAGAACATGATAATGCGTTGAGAGAAAAAATACAAGAAACAACCTTGTGTTTCTTTCAGTTAGATTCACTGTTTGTTTCAGAGTTCAAGTAAAAAAGGTTTCTCACGAAAAGAATAGCAGATTGTATAATTTATGATGTTGAAGTGTTCAGAGTACATCCACACTTTCATACTTCGCATTTATACATTTTTATAAGTAACTAAAATTTATTTTCTTATATAATACCTGCAGTCAAAAAAGTTATATGTGTATTAATACTAAATTATAATAGTGCATTAGCATTTGCATCAATAGGTGCAAACATTGAAGAGGTTGCAGTAGGTGACCCTTATTATTTTAAAATACATGGACAAGTTTATCATAATATTGGTTTATTCACAGTTATATAGTTTAGATACTGCTCAAGTAACAGAAATAAGTATGGTAAATAAGTATTGAAATAATAAATCAGTGATATGATTTGTGATTTTTTGAGAACATTTGCTTGTGCTTCATCAGCATTTCACTTGACAAGTTCTTGTCAACTCATCCATGATGTTTTGCATTTTATCTAACACTTATTTTGCTTTTACTTTTGATTGTTGCCTACTTGACGGTTTGTTTGCATGGTTGGTTGTGTAGAATTTATTGTCTTTATCCATCTTCCTCTTGCCACTTTTTATGCTTAGAAACTTAATACATACATAGGTAAACTTCATGTTTATGTTAAGCATTAGTCCTTAATTCTTACCATCACATCTCACCATTGTGGAGTTATCATTCTCCATCTCTTAAAAAATTTGGAGAGGTATTTTTTGAATCAACCTAACTTCTTTTGAGCCATCCATCAAAACTCTTATTCAGTTTCTATATAATAGTTGTGCTAACAGTGCATATACACATGACTTAGATAGAAAATAAAGAGATAGTTTGAATTCAAGTCTCGGCAATAATGAAGCTCCTACAAAGCACAGAACTCATATGCTCACGCTTCACACACTTAAGCATATCCATCGCCACCTTTTGATCATCTCTCCAAGTCCTCGTGAACTTTACAGGCACTAAGCAGTCACTAAGAAGTGAATGACATTCTCTTGATGAACCTATCTGCATCTTGTATTAGTTTAGTTCTCTTGAGAAAGTCTCCCACAGTACGTGCTCGTGTGATAAGTCCACATTATCCACATTCTCATTATCATCAGGGTCATACAAGAGTGGAAGTGCCTGGAAATTTAGAAGCAGAGAAAACATTGTTCAAGTTATTACTTTCTGATCATTCCCAGAGGAAATAAGTGAAGAGTTAGGCAGCACGCTGAGTACAAGAGTCACCAAATCTGTGATCCATACGCCACAAATAGTTGAGAACCGTATGGAACTGTTTGTAGGACTTTCCCAGAGGCTCATTATGCGAAGCCAATGTTGTTGTTGTCCTTGTGTTCTCCACCACATCATGTGAAGGAAAGACAGAGACAAATAGGGATCATCATAACAATCTCGAGGCTACCCCACCATGTGGAGATGATTCCAGTGGAGTGGTTCCATAAAGCTTCTCGATCTAGGCCCCAAGAACATGTTATATTGAAATCCCTAGCAATGGCACTACCACAGAGAATGCTACCGTCCCAACTCCATGCTCAAGCCCTGGAAGAATGCGTGAAGCCCTATCTTCCGGCCTGCTATGAGAGTTCTAAACAGCACGGGAGGGTTTTTTTTGGTGGGTTCCTCTTCGCAGTGAATGGATTCTCTTTAGTGAGTGTGCAGTTCCATGTGCTGATATCAGTAGCACTAAAGAGGAGGAAAATTCTGTATTGGGACAGCGAGCATAACTGCGAGTGTGCGCTCATATTTACATGATTCTGAGTCTGCGCAAGCGTGGAATTTAAGTAAGCTTTTGCAAAAGTGACCGTGAGTGATATGGTGTAAGCTTTGTATTGCTTACTTGTTGCTTAGTGCTTCAACAGGAATACCAGAGGAGAAGAGACATCTTGTGACAGGCCAACTCTAGGCTCCATGGTTCATGTGGAGTACACAGCCTGATTATGTAGAGGAGATGTTGATATAAATGTAGAGAAGCAAGGTGACTTTGAGCTTGAACTGAGCAGTGGGCTTGTACTTGGCCTTCTCGACACATATGTTACTGTTATGTGTGTTGGTCAGAGTGCTCACTTAGAGCAAAGAGGGAAAGACATTTGCTATTTTTTGTAGCCAGTCAAGGGTAGGAGACACCTTATATATAATGTAGTATTACAACACAAATACAATTGAATCTGGCACCACTTCACTTAATTTGTCCTCAGACATGTGATGCTAATAGTAATTGGATTTGTACAGCACCATGTCCTTGTAGAGAAACACATGGTCATCATTACCACTTCTAGAGCTGCTGCTCTGGATCACTGCCACCACGTTGAAGCTCACCTTGCCATTCAGAGATGGCTCCAAAGTGATAGAGCAAACCAGGACCTCATCAATCGGGTGATGACGGACCCTGTAAGATCTTCATCCCTGTCCCTCGTGAGATCTTCGTCCCTGTCCCTCGCACTGCCCTTCTCACCTGGCTGCTACGTACATGTGACTGATCCCAAACTGGTGGAGGATTCTCATGGCCTTGAGATCTCCTCACTGGTGATGCTGCTGCTGCTACTGCTGTGATTCAGACTCCAAATCTCCTCTCTCTCTCTCCAGCCACTGCTGTCGTTGATCAGATAGCGATATGTAGTGGAGCTTAAATTTTGTATCCTGGATCCACATGAGAATGACGTGATAGCAAAGAGCAAGACTTACCTGTAGCATTAAGTCGACTCTACCATTGGGACTTCTAGATAGCCTTTCTGTCACCATACTACCGTAAAAAGCTGTGACAAAACCATACCCCAACCGAAGAACTTCCTCTAGCTTTGATAGCAAAACTTACAAAGCACTATGTTTACCTGTATCCCAAGATATTCACTGACTTTCTCCAAAAGGAATAGATATCAGAGGTTCCACTCTGTAATTAAGACGAAAGGATAAATGTAAACACTGCTAACACAGCAGTATATTGATACCTGTAAGTGACAGGATCATATGGGTGAAATATGTTTGTTCATCATTTGCCTGCATGCTGGCTTTTTTTCTTCAATGCCTTCATCTTCCCAGTACTCATGACCTGTTCTTTTGCAAACACATTCAACTTACGTTGCAAAGACTGTAAATCACATACATACCCATTTCCAAAGCATTCATTGTGGAGACTCAGAAACAGTGACAACTGCAAAAAATGCGAGAAAGAAACTTATCAACAGTGAAGAATCAAGGAGCTCGCTCTCCTTGTTTCGTTCCTAATGCTGCAAAGTGACACGAGAGAGAGTTAGACATGAAACCCTCAGATATGAACAGCCATAACTGTTATAAGAGAGTATTCCATCATGTCCTTCAAGCCAGTTTTTTTGTGCTTGACTGCCAACATTTCCTCAAGAGAACTTGTCATAAACTGAAGAGCACCATGTATGGCTGTCCCGTATGACTATCCATGTAGAGACTACAGGGTTTATAGCGCTGCAAAATAGAAATCCCTCTCAATGCTTTAAAAACGCAAAACTGAAGAACAAGGAAGCAAACCGTGGACAAAAATTTCTATTTTTTCTCTTGGTTCCAGCCTCAAGGACCTGGAACAAACAGGAACTTTAAGCCTCGAAAGAGAATAGCGAAGAGCAAGAGAGTGAAAAACCTTGATTCTAGTCGTGGTTCCAGCCTTGAGAACCTGGAACAAACAGGGACTTGAGAGACCCGAAAGAAGAATAGCGACAAGCAAGAGAGTGAAGAACCTTGATTCTAGTCGTTGATGACAACGTGAATCCCCTCATTGTCCGAGACGTCGTCCCTGTCGTAGCTCCATCCATCATAGCCTCTTCGCCTTTCACTCCCAATCCTCATCACATTTCCGAGCAGAGCACATCGATCTGCCAAATGCACCTGCGCAGGCGGATGCTGGTGGATTTGTTCCCCGCATAAGTCTGGAAGGCGTCGATCCTGTTCTCACTGATCATCGAGCACAACTATGGCGACACAGAGAAAGCCGTGAGCCTCTCAAACCTTTGCAAATGGAGAAACAAACACAACCTCGTTGTAATAGGCTGGAGCTTTCAGCCGCTTAGGATCGTTATCCAGTGCTGTTCCCAGGACTTCTTCCGGAGCTGTCCAAAAACAAACGCATTAGAGTTTTTTCTAGTGTCTAAATCGAAGGAACTCACTCAAAGGTGTTGGATAAGGAACAAATGCAGGTTGCGGCTTTTGGTAGGAGGTTTTTGGTCCCTCGCCAGGCTCGATGCCACCGTTGCTGTGATTGGCCGTAATATCTTGGTCATCCTGGAACATCTCAAGTTAGAATTGTAGGGACGACAATAGGGGGTCGAGACTCTTTTACCAGATGATATTCTGCGTTAGTACTTTTTCCATAAGTGCGACTCGTTTCTTCATGAACTGGATAATTCTCCTGTTGAAGAACGCTTCGCGTTGGATAAATGATTGTCATTTTCCAGGTGCGTGAGCTTTTGAACTCGAGAATGAACCAACCAGTGGCATCATGTACAGCTGACTCTAGCCTTCTAAATCGTTCCATCAAAACACTCATAGAGGCGCACACACACACACACACACACACACACACACACACACACACACACACACACACAGAGAGAGAGAGAGAGAGAGCGAGTTAGTTCCTAGTT